CACCAAGTGTGGCTGTGTAAGAGTGATGGTGCGCGCTGCTCTGTCCCTGGAGATCTGCAGGCCAAGGTAGCGGCGGAGGCAAGGACCCAAGGAACAAAAGAACAAGCAACATGAAGGTAGTCAGACAGAGGGGGAGCCGCGACAGTGAGCTATGACGGAGGAGGCGAAGGCAAACGGGGAGGACGAGACGCGTGGGAACGAAGCAACATAGGGTGAGAACACTGGACAGGAGAGACAGGACAAGCACGAGAGGGACGGTGAGACCTGACGTGAGACGGAGGCGTTGGGTCAGGAGACAGAGGAGGAGTAACAGGAGGGGAATGAGAGGGGAACCAGCCGGGGATGAGTCCGGTGAAGGAAACACAGGGACATGAACAGGAAGAGGGGGAGACGGCGAGGGAGGCGCAGGCGAGGAGCGTTCAGGGGAGGGATGGCCGAACAGGCGAAGGGCGGACACCAGCGGCTGCTCAACGCCGACACCTGGACCACCAACTGCACTACTGCTACCTCCGGTACACTCCACTCCATGGCAGCTATCCACTGAGAGACCCAGGGTCCCGAGGTCGGCCCTTTGCCCTAAACCCTAAACCCTAAAACGTCTCTAGCGCCGGTGCCACCACCAAGCCCGTCGGGACAAGCCACGACAGGAGCCCCGGGACAAGCCACGACAGGAGCCTCAGGACTAGCACCCTCTCCAACTCCAGCACTCCCTGAGTCCACGAAAGGCTGCGTCTGCGGCTGCGGCGGCAGTGACAGCGGCTGCGGCGACGGCTGCGGTTGCGGCGGCGATTGCGACGAGGGAGGAGGAGACACCGAGGGAGGGACAGGCGGCACAGACTGCGCCGCAGGGCCACTGGAGTCAGCCGACTCCTCGACCGGGACAACCGACGGGAGGGGAGTGACGTGAGACACACCAGACGGAGCACGATGGGGAGGGAGGGGAGCAAGGGCGTCCGGGGGAGTGGGAACCAGAAACAGGGGGGGGGGAACCAAGAGACCTTGGTGGGGAAAGCGATGGAAAAAGGAGGCAAACTCGTCGAAAGTGATGTCACGGGAGTGAAGGAAGCGGTGAGACGGCGGGTGGTTGAAGTGCCAGTCAGATGAGTCAAGGGGGAAACCGAGGAAGACACAGGGGACGGTGCGAGCAGTGAGCTTGTCCGTGCCGGAGGCACGAACGTGAGCGAGGCAGCCCCATATGTGGAACGCAGGCGCGGCACCAGGGAATCCGGTCCAAAGATGGGTCGGCGAAACCTGCGGCAACTGAGAGCGAGGCCAGAGGTTAAGCTGGTGAGCGGCGTAGCGAACGGCGAACGGTCACAGAAAATGGGGTGCACCGGCATGGATCATGGAGGTACGAGCCACCTCCATGACCAAACCGATGCGTCGCTCAGAAACCCCATTCTGCTGCGGGGAGTCCGGTAAGGTGTACGTCTGGGTGATTCCCTCCGCACGACAGAACTGACCATGCCGACCAGAGGCAAACTCGCCGCCACGATCGGAGTGGAGACACAACACAGGGAGACCGCGGTGGAGGTGCGTAGCGACGAGCCACATGATAAGAACGTCAGGCACGTCAGCCTTCCGCTCCAGAGGAAACACCGTGGTGTAGCGCGTAAAGTCGTCAACGAGCACCAGAAAGTAGCGCTCGCAACGCGGCCCAGGGACAGGGGCTGGGCCCCAGACGTCCAAGTGCAGGGTCTTAAAGGGTGCCGTGGCAGGGCAAAGTGAGGAGAAGTGAGGAGCACGGCGCAGCCGGCCCTCGACGCAGGGCATGCACGGCGGCGCAGGCGAGGGAGGGAGAGCAGGGAGCGACGCAGGGAGGCCGAGGACTAGATTGTGCTGAGACATGTGACGCGGGCGGGGGAGCGCGGGGTAACCTAGACGGTGGTGCCACAACAAAGACGGGTGAGTGAGCGACCGACACGAGCAGGCTGCAGCTACCCGGGTGGACGCGGGACCAAAGAGGACTCGCCTGCCGGGGGGGGGGAGCAGTGTCTAGCATAAACAGGCCAGACACAGTGTCCCGGGGGAACGTCGCAAGGGAGGCACCTGAGGCAGCCTCGGAACAGACCGTGTATCGCTCGTAACCAGGGAACGTAGTGGTGATGCCGAGGTCCTGAAGACAGCTGTCACCAACTAAGTTCCTGGAGAACGAAGGGATGTGCAGGCCTGTAAGGGAACCCGAGGGAAACGCCGGACAGGGAAGGGTAGTGTAGCTGCGAGCAACTACAGGACCAGAGGAGGGGTCCGCAAGGGCAAAAGCGGCAGGTGCAGTAAGCGGCGTGAGGCGGCGTGGTCGCGGAAGAAACAGGCTGACGCACCAGAGTCTAGAGTGAAGGTCAGCGACGCCGTAGTGGCCGACGATGGAGGAGCAAGGGTAGAGCCTAGGCTAGACAAAGCAAGCTGTCCTACGCCTGACGCAGCAGGGGAGTCTGGACTACACACAGGAGCTACGCCGAAGCTAGAGAACATAGAGTAATACGATCCGGAAACACTCAAAGTGTCAGCATACAGAGAATGCAAGGTAGAACTAATCTGATCCATGTCTTAGTCAAACACAGGCATACCGTGGCGCAGCAGGCTGGGCCTGTCAGGGATGTCCGGGGCAGGACCAAAGCGGCGACGGAAGAGGTCGTCGAGGCGGCGGAAGCAGCGGGGGGTGGGGTGCGAGCGGCGGCACACCGTGCCACGCAGGGGCCCGGCTGGTACTGGCAGCTTACAGCACCGAAGCTGCCGAGCTGCGAGGGCCACCACCACGACCACCACCGCCAGGGGCTCCTGGCCACCCGGGCGGGAGACGAGCCCACGGCTACTGCTGTTGCTGCTGCAGGGATGGCTGCTGGTGCTGCGGCGGCTGCGACTGCGATGACTGCTGCTGCTCCTTGGCACCAGCACCAACCCCCTCGTCAAAACCACTTTCCCCGCCACCACTACCACTAGCGCCACCTCCACATCCTCCCTTGGGGCCACGGCGGCCCTGGCGCTGGCGCTGCTGCGGGTACGCCGCAGCTGCTACCTCAGGTGCAGGCGTAGTCATGGCAACTGCGGTGGAGACGTCAGCGTTCGTGCACTGGGAGGGGGCACAGCCCTGAAAGATAAAGACTGCCGCAACACCGCTCGACTGAGCGATAGTGCGCTGGAAAGTCTCTATCTCAGACAGAGTAGTGACAAAGGCGGTCACGGTAAGGTCGGCAGGGTTCTGACTAAGGAAGTGGTCGCGGGTAGTGGCTAAGCGGTCAGGCAGGCGCATGGCGATGAGGTATAGGGTAGCGCAGAAAGGTGGGGGGAAGGCAGTAAGCTGGGCGGTAGAGCTAGCAGCACGGTAGCTAGTCTCTAGTGCACGAAGGTGAGTAGCGAGGTCAGCTACCATGGGGAAAGCAGAAAGAGCATGGGTAGGATCAAGCGGCCAGCAGAGGCAGAAGCAGGTGTGGAGTAACGCTCAACTACTGCAGCGAGAAAGTCCTTGGCGTTTGCGACAGCGGTAAAGCGCGGACGCTCAGACAGGGGGAGGGCATGGCTAATGGCAAGCTGGGCTACTGCGTCGCAAGAATCCCAGACAGCTCGAGCAAGCGCAGCAGCAGTAAAAGCCTCGCTCTCAGCAGTGGTAGGGTCAGCAGGGAGGGGATCAGACGCAGGGGGTGGGGAAGCAAACCATCAACATGCATAGCCAGGGAGTGCCCATCCTGGCGCTGACCTATCAGGTGCCGGCGGAGGTCGACGAGCTCGATCGCATGCCCCTCAGCGTCCAAGCGAAGAACGGCGTCCGCCATCGCATAGTGTGACAGCGACTCGGCGGCTCGGCGGCGCGGCGGCTCGGAGACACGGCGGCACGGCGGCTCGGCGGCACGGCGGCTCAGCGGTACGGCAGCCCGACGGCTCGGCGGCGCGAGCTTCTCGGCGGCTCGGGGACACGGCGGCTCGGCGGCTCAGGCGACGAGGCCGGCTAGGCCGCAAGGGGGCGGCTAGGGCACAAGGGGCCGGCTAGGGACACGGGGGAGGGGGGGGGGGGGGCGGTAGGAGCACGAGGGCCGTAGGGGCGCGAGGGGGTGGTAGGGGCGCGCCGTGGCCGGCTAGGGGCGCGAGGGGCCATAGTGGCGCGTGGGGCCGGCTTGGGGCGCGACAGGGCCGTAGGAGCGCGACGGGGTCGGTAAGGGTGCGACGGGGCCGGCTAGGGGCGCGACGGGGCCATAGGGGCGCGACAGGGCCGTAGGGGCGCGAGGGGGCCATAGGGGCGTGACGGAGCTAGCTAGGGGCGCGACGGGGCCGGCTAGGGGCATGAGGGGCCGTAGGGGCGCGACAGGGCCTGCTAGGGGCGTGACGGGACCGCAGGGGCGCGACGGGGCCTGCTAGGGGCGCGGCGGGGCCGTAGGGGCGCGACGGAACCTGCTAGGGGCGCGACGGGGCCGTAGGGGCGCGATGGGGCCGTAGGGGCGCGCGGGGCCAGCTAGGGGCGCGAGTGTCCGGTAGGTGGTGGCATGGGGCGGAAGTGGGTGGGTGGACCTACATACTCGTGATACCATGTTAAGACTAGAAAGAATTATTAGAAGAAGGGAGAACAGGGGAGATATGGTAGCATTTGGGTTGTACCCACTAAGAACATACCCTATCTAGCCTAAAACTTCTACATAACAATATATGTATAAGTTGACACCAGTGTCATCACAGCTGATATCTTTACGAAGGCGCTTGCGCCTAAAGATCATCAGCGGCACTGCTTGCAGCTTTGTCTCGTTCCTGTAGCTACTCCCTTTCTAGGACCTTGATTGTGTACTCCTCTTTATATATACATTTATGACTGGCCTTGTGGCTTTTCTAGTGGCCGGACTAGTAGTGCCTCCCTGGTTTGCTCGTCTTGTTTGTACTCTTGCTGACTGGTCTTTTGACCCGTACCTCAGAGGTTGGACTGGTAGTGCCACATTGAGCTGCGTGTTCCTTGCTCAGCACTGCCCCTAATCTAGCCTAGGGGATATATCAACTTATACATATGTTTATATATAGAAGTTGTAGGCTAGATAGGTTTGTGTTCTTAGAGGGTACAAACAACTCCAACCCTATATCTCCCCTGTACTCACTTGTTCTAGTTTATTCTGTTAATATGTAACAGAAAACTGTGGTACAAAAACTTGCTGCTACAAAAACATGGTGCTGTGCTGTATAGTGTCACTTCCACAGCCTCCTTTCATGTGTTTTACGTTGTAAGAGCTCATGCGACAGCACTGAGTCAAGGAGTGCATTCCCACCACGCCGCCACATCTTCTCACACCAGTCAGAAACCTCCACCTGGCAATAGCAAGCACAGATGAGTACCATTCCAAATGTCAGCTTCGCCGTGCCTTTCCAGCTGACCTGCTGCATCTCGCCACCGGAACAATGTACAGTAACATACCAGGTGCCAAAGCACAAGAAAAGAATGACGAGAGGGGTATTTACCTCGAGAAATGGCTTGTTTGACAGGAAGTGCGCATCCACAGTGTATTCCCTATCCCCCAAGTCCACCACCAGAGCGAGCAGCAAAGAGGAGTCCACACATGCAGATGGTTCCGGGCCGGCTGCTGCTGCTACTCCTGCTTCTCCCCCGTAGACCCCCACCCCTGCACCTGCGGCGGGTGGCTTGTTACCCATGCTTGCAATAGCTGTAGTGGAAGAAAGGGTGGGAGGGGCAGAGGAGGCAACGGCATGGAGAAATGAGATGGGGAGCAGGACGGAGGAACGCCAACAGTTAAAGCATCCCCAACAGTTAAAGCATTTCAAGGACAACCAAAGTGGAAATCACACGTTTCGACACCGTTTGCACCCACGTGCCATACCCTCTTCATGCACTCCTTGACCACAGGGTATCCCTACGACTTCAAGTTACAAAATCTTATTCCCACATATATGGGCCCTCTAAGGGCATGTATGGTGAACAGCTTTTTAACAGGGGCCTACAATCGACTATTTTTAAGCCCCCATGCCCTGTAAGAAGGTTTGGTGTAACGGTCTTCAAACACATCTTCACTGTAGCATTGAAGTCCATCGCATCATTTGATGCTCGGACTAAAGGCGGTTTTCAAAACTACAGAGGGTAGGGCCCTAAAATCGAATTATGGCTATATGCCACAACATGCATCTCACAACATGCATCTCACAACACGCGTCTCACAAAACGCATCTCACAACATGCATCGCACAACATGCATCTCACAGCATGCATCTCACAGCATGCATCTCACAACATGCATCTCACAACATGCATCTCACAGCATGCATCTCACAGCATGCATCTCACAGCATGCATATCACAACATGCACCTCACAACATGCATCTCGCAACGTGCATCTCACACCGTGCATCTCACACCGTGCATCTCACAACATGCATCTCACACCGTGCATCTCATAACATGCATCTCACAACGTGCATCTCACACCGTGCATCTCACACCATGCATCTCACACTGTGCATCTCACAACATGCATCTCACACCGTGCATCTCACACCATGCATCTCACACCGTGCATCTCACAACATGCATCTCACACTGTGCATCTCATAACATGCATCTCACAACGTGCATCTCAAACCGTGCATCTCACACCATGCATCTCACAACGTGCATCTCACAACATGCATCTCACACCGTGCATCTCACACCGTGCATCTCACAACATGCATCTCACACCGTGCATCTCACAACATGCATCTCACACCGTGCATCTCATCTCACCCACGGTGTTCTTCACCCAGCACCCACCTGTGATTCGCCCCATGCAGTACCCCGTGCCCCCCATGTCCTCGCCCTTCCTTCCCAGCCTCAGTCGCAGGAAGCACCCATTTGCCTGCGCTGATAGCTCCCCCTGCCCCTGCCACCTGGTATGAATGGTTCTGAAACAAATAGGGGAAGCATGGTACGCAGGGCATGAGGGGAACGAGTGTGACACAGCACCCCTTTGCGTGCGATGCTAGCCCCCCCCCCTGCCCCTGCCCCTGCCACCTACCCCTAGGAGCTGGTAAGCAGAAGGGTATGAGGGGCATGTGGGGCCCGTGTTAGGTGTGTGTGAGGAAGGGCCACATCAGGACACGTGCAATCCCTTACGCACGCAACACGCGTGTACCACAAAAGCGCATACAGCAAGGGCACGCACGTAACGAAATCGAGCGCCCACCCACCCACCCACCCACTCACCCACCCACCCACCCACACCCCTCTCCCCCACCCAACCCACAACATCTCCCCACCAACCTCACGCACCTGTGCAAGTCCCTCCTTGCCAGCCGAGCTCCCTCCACCGCTTCCAGCAGAGCAGCAGGCAGCCTCGCTTTGCCTCCACCCGTCTTTATGCCCTCTCCTCCTCCTCCTCCTCCTCCTCCTCCTCCTCCTCCTCCTCCCTGCTGCCTGCCTGCTAGCAGACGTGCCCAGTCATACACCGGAGCTGCTGCCAAACCTGGCACTGGTGCCGGAGCTGGTGCCGAACCTGATGCCAAAGCAAGAGGGCTGCAGGAATGGGGAGCTTCCTCTGGTTGCGTGGCTGCAGCCGCACTGGCATGGGCATGGGCATGGTTGTCCGTACAGCCCTCAGTGTTAGCCGGAGAAGTATGAGGGGGAGGAGGGGTGAGAGGAGAGAAATTAGGAGGTGCAGTGTTAGCTGCCTCTGGTGGTAGATGGTTCACACGTGTGGTGCAACCATCAATGGCACCTGCCACTACTGCCACTACTTCTGCTACTTCTGCGGCTGCTGCTGCTTCTGCCGCTGTTGCTGTGGTGCCAGCTGCTGCTGCTGCTGCTGTCATATGCTTGCGGTCTGCAGCGGCAGCAGCAGAGCCATCTACAGCAGGAGCATCAGGAGAAGCAGCAGCAGCGGTGACATCAATGGGCTGAGAGGAAGCCATAGCAGGCAGAGCTGGAGGGACAGCAAGGATAGGAACAGCAGAAGTAATTTCGGGCAGAGTGGGAGTCAGAGCAGGAAACGGGGCAGCTGGAGTCATTCCAAGGTTTTCAGGCAGATGAGAAGGGAGCGCAGGGAGAGTGGGGGGGGCAGCCGCTATCTCACGCATAATGGGAGATTTCTTATAATTCTCAAAGCTCTTGGCGCAGCACAAGCTCCTCTCATCCATCAGCACTGCGCAGTCTGCCGCCCAGTGGCCGCCCACCCCACAGCACAGACATAAGCACGGCGCTTCTCCTCTCTGTTCCCACGAGCCGTCCATCACACGAGGCCCATTCTCTCGTTTCACATCCCCTTGCCTCGTCTCTACAATCCCCTCCGCTCCCCCCAACCCCCCAGTATCTGCACCCATGCTCTCTTCCTCTCCCCCACCATCCTCCTCACTCACTTTACCCTTCTCTCTGCATCTCCTATGCACTCCTCCCTCCTCCCCTCCTCTCTCCTCGTCCCTTCCTCCCTCCATCCCTCTCTCCTCCTGCCCTTCTCCACCCTCCGTCCCTCCTCCTCCCGCCACCCCTCCTTCCCTCTCAATCCAATCCCCGAGCCGAGTCACCAGCAGAGACAACTCCTCCTCGTCTCGAGTCTCAGAGCAACTCAGCACCGTGTGGCCGCACACCCCACAGAACATGCACTGCGGCCCCTCCAGGGACATCTTGCCCCCATCTTCTCTGTGCTTCCCCACTCTTTCCACTCCTTCTCCTCCATCCACCTGCACCCCTCCCTTCCCCCGTTCGCTAATCTCCTCAATGCCCTCCCTCTTTCCCTTATCTTCCCCTTCCTTCTCCTGCCCCTCCTCTGCCCTACACTCCTCTCTCCCATCATCCTCCTTCTCTTTCCCCTCCTCCCTCTCCTTCCCCCCCTCCTCCTCCTCATCCTCTCCTTCTACCCAAAACCGCTCATTCCATCCAGCCAAGCCCAGATCACGCTCCTGCTGGCCAACGAGCTCGTGCCACGTGGCAGCATCGTGGAGCCACGATCTGAGGGCTGCCACGTTGGCAGAGTGCTGGGACCAGCTGAGCGATACAGGCCTAGGAGGGGGAACAGGGAAAGGAGGAGGTGGGGAGGGAGGCTTTGGAGAGGGGAGAGGAGGTACGGAGGGGGGCGTAGGAGAGGGGACAGGAGGAGGAGGAGGGGAGGGAGGCCTTAGATAGGGGGGCGGGGGAGGTGGGGAGGGGGGCCTATTGAGGGGGGCAGGTAGTTGAGGTGGCTCAGCAAAAGGGGGGATATTCGGGGAAACCGGAGGAGGTGCGGAGGGAAGGAGCGGCAGCTGTAGCTTTGGGCGCGGAGGACCAAGAGGAGCAGAAGGAACAGGAAAGCAACCAGCAGGAGCATCGGTAGCAGCAAAACTTGCAGTAGCAAGAGCAGCAGCGGTACTCATAGTGCCACCATGAGCAGCAACGGCTGCAGCAGCTACATCGGCACCATCAGCAGCAGCACCAAAATCAGCAGCAGCACCAAAATCATAAGCACCATCCAGCATATCCACATCGTCAACAGATCCCCCTTCAATGGAGTGCGAGTCCCTTGCCCCCTCCTGCTCCTCGTCCAACACTGCCCTCCTCGCCACTGCCCTTGCGATCAAACACGCCCTCTCCACTAAACCACCCTGCTCCCCCTCTCCCTCCCCATACTGCCCCGTACCATAACCACCAGCACCAGCGAGACCAAGACCACCAGCATCGCCACCCACATCAGCATCAACGCCAGTCGCAGTACCACCACCAGCAGCCAAACCAGCAGCAGCAGCAGCAGCATCACCCCTAGGCCATCCACTTCTCACCTCACCCTCACCCTCATTCTCACCCTCACCACCACCACCATCAGCAGCACCAGCACCGCCTCTCCTCTGCCGTTTGACCGCCCTCTTCCTGCCCCACGCCCCACCTGGCGATTCCCGCTTGCCTGGCGCCTCTCGCTTGCCCCCACACCTACTGGCAGCACACCTACTAGCAGCAAACATGGAGTCGGACGCTGCTGGTGCGCGGACGAACGACCCTGCGGCCTCCACCACCCTTCTCTTGTGCAATCCCCCCTGGGGAAGCCTCCCTCTCGCTCCTGCAAGCCTCCCTGCCATGAACGGGCCGAATCGAGGCACACCAGCTACGTATCTCGCTGCTTCTGCACCCAATTTCTGCTGCTGCGGCCTCTCCTCCTGCTCCTGCTGCTGCTCTCGCTGCTGTTGCTGCTGCTGCTGACCCATCTCGTTTCCTAGCCCCGAAATGCCCCCTCCTACGTCCGTTGCCACCCCAACCTGGTGCATTTGTGCCACCATATCCCGGCCCCTCGCCAAATCTGCCAAATCTGCCTGCGGTGGTGCTGCTAGTAGCCCCTGCTCCCCTCGCCTCCCTTCTCTCCCTTCTCCCCCCTGTCCCTTATCGCCCCCAGCTTTGCCTCGCGCCAATCGAGGCCCAATCAACCGCGCAATCCAGTTCCGTGCTGCCCCACTTTCCTTCCCCCCAATTCCCCCACTTCCCCTCCCCCCACCTACGCCGCTTCTCACCCCCCTTATCCCTTCCTCGGCCGCCCCCTCCCCTGCCGCTGCTCCCCCCTTTGTGTCGCCCCCTCCCCCTGCCCCTGCCCCTGCCCCCGCCCCTCCATGCGCGAGCATCCCTGTGCCCAATTCAAGCCTGGTGCCTCCACTGCTCTCCTTCAGTCCCCTCGCACTCCCTCCACTCCCCATCCGGAGCCAGCTGCCAGATCCCACCGCTGCAGCAGGTGGTGCTGCTGCAGGCTCTATCTGCTGGTCGTCTGTGCCCTGCTCTGTTACCACGCCCAAACCGCTGCCGTTCAAGCCGCTGCCGCCCAAACCACTGCCGCCCACGCCACTGCCGCCCAAACCACTGCTGCCGCCTAAAACGCCTGAAGCCCCACCACGAATTCCACCTGACGGCCCAGCTGCAGTTCCAACTGAAGCGACACCTGCAACTCCACCTGAAGCACCACCTGCGATTCCACCTGAAGCAGCACCTGCGATTCCACCTGAAGCACCACCTGCGATTCCACCTGAAGCGCCGCCTGCGATTCCGAAAAACCCTAAATCAGGGACAGGGCAGCTGTTGCTCCCCACGCCACCGCTGCCACTGTTGGCATGCCTCCCTCTCTGACCTCCCACCCCCACTCCCCTTCCCATGCCCCATCCCCCTCCCATGCCCCCTGCCCTTTCCACACCCCCTTCCCCACCCAAGACCCCCGGCCCTTCCATGCCTCCTCCCCTCCCCATAGCCATATCCCCTTGCTCCCTCGCAATGCCCGCCGCCCCTTGCCCCCTTACACCCCGCCTCATGGGGGAAAACTGCAGCGGACTCTGCCTCAGCCTTGTCCCTCCCCCTTCTCCCCGTCCCCCCCCACCTCCTCGGCCTCCTAGCAACAGCCCCTGGTGCCCTCCTCCTCCCCCACCCCCACCCTGTGCCAGTTGCCGTCTCCTCCTGTTCCTCCTTCTTCTTCTCAGCTCTGTGCTTCCCCTGCTGCCTCCTCCCGAGCTCCCGCCATCCCGCCCCTGCAGCAGCCGCAGCACAAACACATCCCTCTCCCTCCACCTGCCGCCCCTAACGCCCCGCCTCCACTCCCTCTCCTCCCTATCCCTCCCTCTCTCCTCCCTATCCCCTCCCCCCTCCCTCTCACGTCCCCTCCTGTCCCCTCCCCCCGCCAGCCCACCACCCCTGTTCGCTTCCTCCTCTCCCGTTGCAAACCCGCTGCTCCCCCCCTCCCCCTCATCCCCTGTGAAGCTCCCCTGGGAGGTCCACCCCTCTCCCTCCCCTAGACTCTCCCTCAGGTGCCTCAGCAGCGGGCCAGTAGGCACCTCCCCCTCTCCTTCCCTGGCTGCTCTCCCTCCCACTCCTCCCACTGCTCCCACTCCCCTCCCTCCTCCCGCCTGCACCTGCTGCCAGAACCCTGGCATTCTGAACCCTAGCTCCCTGCCAAACCCCGGCGTTCCAAGTCCCTGAGCCCCACCCCCCTGATCCCCCCCCTGCGCCTGCGCCTGCTCTCCTCCCTGCCGCCCCAGCATCCCCCATTGACCCTGCTGCCATTGCCCCTGCTGCCACTGCCGCCGTTGCTGTGCACCTGTCAGGGCCAGGGGCCCCGGAACAGAGAGCTGGTCCTCTGACTCTGCTGCTGCCGCTGCCACGCCCAGAGCGTGCTCGTCTGACCCCCCACTGCCCCCGTGACTGGCGTTCCCAGCTGGCACCTCTATGGGCTCTGGCCTGGGCCTAGGGCGACGTGCAGCATTTGTAGCAGCAGCAGCAGCCGCAGCAACAGCAGGTGCGGGGGAGACAGGAGTCGCTGCAGCAGGTGCAGTGGTAACAAGTGCGGCTGCCACTGCCAGTGCTTGGTCGTCTGACCCCCCATTACCTCCACCACTGCTGTTGCCTGCTGGCACCTGTATCAGCTCTGGTCTGAGTCTTGGGTGACGTGCAGCAGCAGTAGGAGCAGGAGCAGGAGCAGGAGGAGCAGCAGCAGCAGCAGCAGCAGTAATTGGTCCGGCGGCAGGAGGTGGGGCAGGAACAGCTAAGGTGGCAGCAACAGGTGCGGGAGCAAGCGGTGCAGAGGCAACAGAAGCGGTGCCAGCTGCTGGTGCTGCTGCTGCTGCTGGCGCTGCAGAATCAGGACTGGATGGGCCAGCAGGCATAGCACGAGAGGCAGCGGCCACTGCAGGAGCAGCAGGTGCAGCAGGTGCAACGGGTGCTATGGCCTGGTTAGGCTTATTGGATTCATTGGCGTCCGTCAAAGAAGGGGGAAACACAGGCAGTGCTGCAAAATGGGCACCCGCTAGGCACCCAGCAGCAGCAGCAGCAGAAGCAGGATCAGCAGCAGCAGCAGCAGGATCAGCAGCAGCAGCATCACTGGCAGCAGCAATAGGGCATTCAGCACCAAAACCACCACCAGCTGCAGCCTCAACTTTTGGCGCTGCTTGCGTTGCTGCCTGCAGCGTTGCCACAGCAGCTTGTGCACCCGCAGCAGCCTCACCCCGGGCATCAGGATCAGCGGCGAAGGCACCAGTCTGTACCTGCTCTTGCAGCATCTCACCACAGCACTGACCCATCTCACCAAGTCTTGCGGCCATTGCAGGCAGAGCAACCCTACCCTCTGAGCCCTTGTCTTGACTCGTTCTCTTTGCCTCTTCCATCCTGGCTTCTGCAAGTTTGAGCCGCTTTACACCTGCCTCAGCGAAGGAGCCTGCTGTAGCACCAGCAGGAGCATGCTTGGGCGTTTCAAGTCCCTTGTGGATAGGTGGCTGGCTCACTGCTCTTGGCTGACTGATTGCCCTGGGCTGGCTCACTGCCCTGGGCTGACTGGCTGCCCTGGGTTGGCTCACAGCCCTGACCCAGCCACCAAACGACCCGCCAAGAGCCTTCCTCTGATGAGGCGCCAAGTCTGCTTGTGAGCCCACTGGTCTGCACACAGCATGGTCAGGATCAGGTCTGTGTGGGGGCCGGTCAGCTGGGGAAGGGTCGCCAGCAGGACGACGCATGTCAAATTTCATAGTGGCAGCAGTGGGGAGGGTAGCCACAGGCGAGGCCGGGGTAGGAGTGACCAGCGCATCAGCAGCAGCGGGGCTCTTAAATTGCGCAGCAGCCACACTCCCACCACCAGCCCCTGCAGCTGCAGCACTTGCACCTACAGGTACAGCTGCAGGTACAGACACCACAGGGGACGCGGCAGCAGCAGGAGCAGCACTAGCACCAGCACCAGGGACTGACGCTGCTCTTGCTGCTGCTGGCGACACTGCTTTGCCTGCGCTTGCCTGAGGAGAGGCACGCACGCGAGGAGCAGAGGCATGCAAGACAGGAGCAGATGCGTCGGACCACGGGAGAGACGCACCACGCGCCATCTCAAGCACAAACGCGTCCCACTCGCCTCCTGTCTCCTCCCCACTCCCACCCTTCCCCCTTTTCCCACTTGCACCCTCCTCCTTTCCTCCCGTTCTGCTTCCACTCTCCTCCCGCTTCCCACTCCCGCTCGTCTCCCTGGATCCACCCAACGGGTCCCTACTCCCCCGCTTCTCCCTCTCCTCGCTCCCACCCTTCTTTCCCCCACCCCCACCCATACCTGGCGAGGTACGAACCAAGTCCCGATCACGGGGAGACGGGTGGGCATGCAGGGAGGAGGACGAGAAGAAGTCTCTCGACCCAGCCCTCTCGCAACCACCACCAGATCCAGTCCCTCCACCAATCCTCGTTCCACCAGCATCGGTCCCTACCGCACTGGACCACCTTCCACCCGCAGGACCAACCCCTCCCCCTGCTAACCCTAATTCCTCGCCCTCGGTTTCCACTCCGAATTCCTCCCACCCGCACGACACAGGCACCTGTAACCGGCCCATTCTGGCCGGCCTCTTGCTAGAGGGTTCCCTTGGCGACTCCAGCTCTCTAGAGGGTTCCCTTGGCGACGCTAACGCTCTGCCTGTACCGTCTGTTCCGTCTCCCTGGAAACTCCCCCCCTCAGCCTTTCTCTTTGCAGCACCCTCCTTGCTTCTGATCCTACCAGCCTCCCTCCTTCCCCCAAGCTCTCCGCGTTCCCCAAGCTCCCCGCTTCCGCGCTCTGTACTTCCATCTGCTTGCGCTCGCCCCCCTTCCCCTCCCCAAACGTTCCCCCACACGCCCGCGCGCCCATGCCCATCCCCTTCCGCCTGCGCCCTTCCGCCCATGCGACCATCCCCCCTACCGCCCTCAACCGCATACGACAGACCGTAATCCCCCATACCTCTCCCGCTCCTCGCAACCCCGCCAAAGTTCCCCCTGCCACCGCTGCTCGCACTCCCCCGCAGATTCCCCCTGCTGCTGAAGCTCCCACTGCCCCCCGCCCCGCCTGCCCCGCCGGCCCCCCCTGTTCTGCGCGCCTCTGCGCCCTCCACTCTCTGCGCCCCCTTATCCGCGGAACAGCAACCATCTCGCCCCGCAAGGTCTCCTCTTCCCGCGGACCCCCCTCTTCCAAGTGACCCTGAACGTCCTCCCGAGCCTCCCAGTCCCGCTGACCCTCCCAGACCCGCCGAACCTCCCAGTCCCGCCGAACCTCCCAAACCCGCCGAACCTCGTTGGCCAAGAGATCCTGACCTTGACCCTGACTGCGGAGTCTTGAACTCGCTCCCTTTTAACCGCACATCCGCGTCCGCACCTCTCCCCGCGCTCCGCTCTGCAATCGCCGACGCACTCGGGCTGCCTACCGCTCTGGTAGCAACCGGCACACTGGGGCTCTTCAAGACTTGTTGAGGCGCGTCGTTTGATACCCTAACCGCCTGGCTGGAACTCCTTACCAACCTTTGAGGCGGATGAACTAACGCCGCGTTACCCCTACCAACTGACTGGCTCCGCCTTACTACGCCATCCTCTCGTACCGTTTCCCGGACTGAGCACTTGAGCGACCGCGTCGTTTCCAATCCCTCCCGCTCCTCCCCGCTCCTCCTTTCCCCGATTCTCGCGCCTTCCCAACTCTCCCGTCGTAGCAACCTAAAGTTCGGCCCTTGCTCCTGACTGGGAGCGGCAACAGCGGCGCAAGCGGAAGCAGAAGCCAAAGCGGCAGCGGAAGCGGAAGCGGAAACGGCGGCAGAAGCGGAGGCGGTCGCAGACCCAGTAAAAAGCGCCGGGCCTTGCCACAGGTCGTAGCGCTCTCCGCCGCCTCTCCGCCCACTCCGCCGCCGTTGCACGTTCCGCGCGCCCTCATCCGTCGCCACTCCGCTTCCGCGCGCCGACGAAGGCGACAGAAGCTGCGGTTGCGCTGGAACGGCGGGGAATCCGGGCGTTCCGCCAACTCCCCCAGCGATTTCCGCCATTCGTGCCATCAGCGCCATCGCCGCCCATTCCTCCCAGCCCGGCGGGATTCCCCCTTGCGCCTCGGGGGTGGTCAGCGCGTCAGGGGCTTCCGCAGACGCCGCGCCCGTGGTAGCTGCGGGGGGGGCTGAAAGAGGGAAGAGCGGAAGCAGCCGGCAGGTCGCACGGGGAACCACGTTGCTTCCGCCGCTGGCGCCCAGGCTGCTCGAGTCCACTCCTATCCGCTGCCCTTGCGGGGCGCCGCTGCTACCCCTCAAGCGACTTGCGCTACCATCCCGCCCGCGATTCCCGCTCTGCTCGACGAGAGGCATCCACGCGTTAAGATACTGGTACGGGGGTTCCCGGTTCGATTCACCCGCCAGAAAAGCGGTGTTTCCCGAAGCCGTATGCGGCATAACGGCGTGCGCTGCGGCGAGGCGTTGCGGCTGAACTCCCGTGATAGGGCCGAAAGGAGGCGGATTATTCCAAGGCATAGCGGCGGGTTCACCCATTGGCCAGGAAGGCGCCGCGTCAGAAGACGCCACGTCAGCTGCTGCTGTGGTCCCCCCTCTAGCGGTTTGAGAACCGGCGGCATCGGACGACCCTAGTCTATTTCCCGCAGGTGGAAACTGCGAACCTGAGGATTGCCCTGACAAAAGCCCTGGGGGCGGTCCTTTTGGGGACGGTACCGAAAACGGTACTTGAGAAGAAGGACCTGACCCCAGCCTAATCCCCGAAGGTTGACACTGCGAGCCCGGAGTCCCGCGCCCTGAGAACGGCCCTACTACGGACGGTCTTCGCAGAGACGGTGCTGAAAACGGTGCTGGTTCGCGGGAGCAAGGGGCTGAGAACGGTTCTAGGGACGCCGCTTCTTGAGTGTGAGAGGGCGGGGAGACCAGAGACCGGACTAACGGCTGCGCTAATAGGTCGAACGTGGGGTTCGGGTTCTGTGCCTCGGGGAAAGCTCTCTTCGAAGCGTCGTCGTGCGGTGCGGTCCCCTCTGTGGACCGTTCGGGGGCAGCGGGAGCAGAGTGCACCGCGGCCGTCGGTTCGGCGTGCGGAGGGTGGAGATGTGGCGGAGTGAGCGGTTTAGGCGAATCGCGTCGGCTACTCCAGCCGGTCTCGGAATTCCAGGTCCAATGAGAACTCTCCATTGCTGAGGGCAACGCTCGGATGCCTCAACTCGACCGAATCTCTAAGCCGCGGATGGCTCGGCTTGACGTGCTTATTCGGAGAATCGGAGCAATGGAAACGGACTCAATCCGCTTTCCAGAAACACACCGCTTTCGCGGGCTACGATTGCTCTCAGCACTCGGAGCCACTCAGAAACTGTTACGGCCGTGAGACGGCGACGCTCTTTCTTGGTACCTCCTTTGCCAGTACTGGAAAACCGTGTCGCTTATCGCCGCTCCTCCGTCAAGGCTGCACTCGTGCAATAACCTATGAACGGCACAGGTCTGTGTGTTGGGAGTACTGTAGAATCCTCGCCTACTAGGCCGAGACAGTTACCAAACAGCAATCTTATCATTCGAACACAGCTCGTACACAGCTCGCTCATATGTACACAGCAACAGAAGTATTGGACCAGAGAAGGGGAGGGCGCGTGTGATGCTGGCAATGAGTGAGCGCAGGACGAAAATACGGGCTCACACAACAGTTGTTAATCGCTAGTGCTGTACCGCGCGGTGCTGTGTCCTACGGTCTGTAGGCCGTAGGGATCATAAACGGACAAAAGCCCCTCAGCTTCCTTCCAACACTCCATTCATAAATCTGCTTCTTGATGGCGGGTCAGGGATCAGGATGCATGTCTTCATTAAGAATGATAGTTCGCCGCTTTTGACGCCCAAATACGGTTGTTCCCCTGCCTTCTCTTGCACAGCAACCCCTAAAAATGTCTAATTTGGATTCGTCACGTGGCTCGCTCATCCTGGCAACAACTCCAATGCCAGACGAACCGCGAACCAGCGACTGGGGTGCGGCTGTCGCGTCGCCTTCGCCTGGCCGGGGGGAACCTCGAGGGGAACCATGGCTGAGGGTGTGTGTGTGAAGTGAACTGGAGTGAAAGGTGCTGATCAAACGAGGAAGTGGGGGGGAGTTCCTTTGGAGTGAATCTATTCCACCAGCACGGAGTGAGTAGTAGCCATCACACCACACAAACACACTCTCACCAACAGGCGTGAATCCTTCACGCGCATTTGATTTTGCTGTCCCCATTGCCGAATCTCCCCCTGGAGAAGTCCCACACCATGTCATGAGAGCATCGCCCATAAAACCCAATCCCAATGCTGCCCGAATTGCTGAACAGCCAGTCACGCGTAGCGAGCGCATGTGATCGTCCATGTGAATCTCACGTGATGCAGTTGTAATCTCGAATGGGTCGTTGACACCTCGAACTGAGTGACATGTGAAGAAGCTGCTAGAATGTGCGTGGAGCCAATGATGGCTTGGAAAAGAGGATTTTCCATAACCCAGTTCGGTGCCTGCCATCATTAGGGCCAATGGCTGAGAAGTTCCATCAATACAGATCCAGCACCACTGTAACACTATTCGTATGAAAGAAATAGTGGGTTAAATTACACTAAATGCATACTATCACCAAACGTCAAGCTTTTCAATGGCATAACATGACACACATAAAAAGTTGAATAAAATAAGGACAATTGTTTAAATATACTCAATATGTTGTATATTGTTAAATTATATTGATATAATAATTGTAGGCTTGGTAGGTGTTATTGGAACCTACTGTAGAGAGTACAAATCCCTCCTTGTATCCCTCTCTCTTCTTATCTCACCCTCTTCTCTCTCGACACTTTCTCCTAGCACCTAAACCCTCTCGCCATAGCCATGGCTCCTCTCCTTTCCTAGCTTGTCTTAACATGGTTTCAGACCAGGTCCTTCTGCTCAGGCCTGCTCATCACGCTTCCGCAACTTTTGCCCCTCCCTCCTACCATTTCCGCGCCGCCGTGGCAGCCATGTCGTGCTGCCATGGCGGCTTCGTGGTGCTGCCGTGGTAGCTTCGACACGCTGCCGTGGCGTCGACGCCACGCCGTGGCGGCGTCGTCGTGCTGCTGTGGCAGCGTCGACGTGCTGCCACGGCAGCGACGCCGCGCCGTGGCGTCGTCGTCGAGCTGCCGTGGCGTCGTCGACGGACAGCAGCTGGCCGCGCGATGTTTTAACGCTAGTCAGCTCGCCCGCACGCCAGCCAGTGCCGCGCCGCCATGGTACCTCGCTGCAGCTTCGCCCCCCCTCATCTGCATTTCCCTTTCTCCCCGCCGCAGCCGATGGATATCTCGCCCCGTGCGGCCCCATCGTTGCTGAGCCGGGCCACGTCGACGGGTGCCGCGGTCTCCGTCGCCGCCGTCGATGCCGCAGGTGCTGCTGGCTCCGCCGCCACCTACCGTCGCAACCACCGATGTCGTCGTACCGTCGTCGACGCCGCCGCCGCCGCTGCCCCCGCTGCTGACGTCGCCGCCTCGCACGTCGTGAGGTCAACCGCTGCTGACGAAGTCACTACTGCTACAGGGCATGGGGGTGCAAGGGATTTGGGGGTGCTGCGTGTGTGGTGTGCTTTCAGCTACCAAACCTAGGGGGTGTGTTAAATTATGTACTATATATACTGTATAAAATTGTAGGCTTGGTAGGTATTATTGGAACCTACTGTAGAGGGCACAACTCCCTCCTTGTATCCCTCTCTCTTCTAATCTCACCCTCTTCTCTCTCGACACTTTCTCTTAGCACCTAAACCCTCTTGCCATAGCCATGGCTCCTCTCCTTTTCTAGCTTGTCTTAACATATATATATTATACGTAGCATGTGCTAAGTATGTGAAAATTGATTTCCCAATGTTTTAGCTCATTATCGTAAGGCCTATCTCCTGATAACTATTCTTAGCCTTTGTTCTTCCTATTCGATTTGAAGACTTTTGGCTAGCTAAAAAGGGCAAATTTGACTAAATCCCTGCACTACTTGTCCTTAACAAACTTTTTACTCACTTTCTTTAAAGCGGGCGGACAGACCGGACTCAACGCTCAAACCCTTTGAGTCTTGGGTTTGGTTAGCGAAAATGACGAGCGGCCCATCTAGCCCCACGAAAGGCGTCTGCCCCACGCGAAACGATCTGGCCCCTCGCGATGGGAAAACAGACCTCGTCAAAACCTGCGAGGTCGCAGGGCAGATTCCTGACAACAGCACCACTCTGCCCCAACCACGACTGCGTTCGCATGACAGCCGCTATTGTACTACAAAGCGACACATACAAAACAAGCATGACTGCTACAGCAACGATAGCCTTCTCAGAGTAATGAACTGTCTAGAAATGGAAGGTACAGGGTGTGTTTATACTAGTGTATTGTACCCTCTAAGAGCATGCACCTATCTAGCCAATAATAACATATACATATATGTCTCACACACCCCTTAGGCGAGATGAGGGGCATTGCCTGGCAAGAGACACGCAGCTCATGGTGGCACTACTAGTCCAACCTCTGAGGCAAGGGTCCAAAGACCAGTCAGCAAGAGTACAAACTAAACAAGAGTAACCCAGGGCGGCACTACTAGTCTAGCCACTAGAACAAGAGCCACAAGACCAATCAAGATAATATAAGAAGAAGTACACAATCAGGGTCCTAGCAAGTGAGAAGCTACAGGAACAAGACCAAGCTGTACACAGTGCCGCTGATGATCTTTAGGCACAAGCGCCTTAGTACATATATCAGCTGTATTGGCACCGGAGGCCAAGTGTACTATGCAGGCCTGGCGGCACTGCTGTAGCTCGCGCAGGAGGAGCTGAATGTGCTTCGCTATGCCCTCTAGTCGAGGCTCCTGACATAGGAGGATCATGGCCATGTTGTCAGCGTATAGGACCGGGGCAGAGCTAGGCCGCTCACCTAAGTCTGTGAGCAAGAAAGTCAGTCAGCGGAGCTCCAATACCGCCATGGCACCAGCATAGATCTCAGCCTCACAGCTAGACTATGCAACAGATGATGAGTGGGTGGACCTCCACAAAATGGCGCCTGCACCAAGGCTAAAGCAGTAGCCCTAGGAGGACTTGAGCGTCTCAGCGTTGTTTGCCCACAAAGCGTCCGTGTGCCCTGTAAGGACCACTGGCATGCATCCTCCTAGCACTAGCCCCATGCCCGATGTACTTGGTAGATAATGCAAAATCCTCTTAATGACCGACCATTACTGTGGTCGGTGTCTGCCTGTGGCCACAAAGCGCGCCAGGATGCTGAGAGGGTATGCAAGATCTGGACGAGTGCAAGTCATCAGGTACATGAGGCAACCCACCACCTCTGCGTACGTACCACTAGGCTGTAATGACTCCTCAGGGACTGAAGCCGAAAGCATGTGATCTACTTGCAGAGGTGTGGGTTGTGCAGAGGAGAACTAACGACCGAACCTATGAAGGACCAGGCGCACCATGTGTGACTGTATGAGAGGGATGGTGCGCGCTGCTCTGTCTCTGGAGGTATGGAGGCCAAGGTAGCGGTGGAGCTCTCCTAGGTCAGTGCAGGTGTGTCTCCTTAGGAGCTCAACCTTCACGGAGGCCAGCGCATCTCCTTTCTGCAGTAGCGAAGACCAAGTCGTCTACGTAGACAAGGATGTAGAACGGGGTTTGGCCTAAACGAACGAAGAGCGAAGGGTCAGCAGAGGACGGGAAGAACTGCAGGTCAACTAACGTATCATGCAACGTGTCGTGCCGCTCGCGGGGCGCCTGCCGTAGGCCGTAAACCGGGCGCAGGAGGAGCCACTGGGTCCCAAGGGCGAAGGTGCCGGTGAAGCCCGGTGGGCGGCGCAGCTAGAACTTCTCGTGCAGACTGCGCTGGAGAAACGCTGTAGAGAAGTCGAGAGAGTGCAGCTCATAGTCACACTATACTGCTACGTGTAGCAGCACCCAAAGAGTAGTCATGTTCGGGGTCGGGGCGAAGGTGTGAAAGAAGTCAACACCACCACACTGAGTGAAACCTCTAGAAACGTAGCGCACCTTAAACACCGGCGGCTTTTTAGGAGGGCGCTTCACCTTGAAGAGCCACCGGCCATCAACTATGTTCACCCCAGGTGGAGGAACTACGTCGACGTAGGTGCCGGTGGATCTCCAAGATCCCATCTCCGTGTCCATGGCAGCTATCCACTGAGAGGGCCAGGGTCCCGAGGTCGCCTCGGCGTAAGTGTGAGGGGTCGGTATGTCAAGGGTGTCTGGGTCACCCTCAGGGACTAGCACCATAGAGCAGAGATGGGGAGCGGCCTCGGATAGGAAAGCTAGCTCATACTGCCTGTCCTTGAGGATGTCACTGCCAAAGGCCCGTGCACCCCCAACGGACGGAGGACAGGCAGGGTCAGAGACCAGAGCTGTGGCGTAGTCAAGGCGGCCGGTAGAGGCAAAGTCAGCAACAGTAGCGACAAGAGAGTTGAGACTAGAAACAGGAACAGATGGGTCGATAAGGGAGTAAAAGAAACTGTGAGACAGCGGGTGGTAAAAGTTCAAGTCAGACGCGTTGAGGGGGAAGCGAAGGAAGACACAAGCAACGGTGTGGGCAGTGAGCTTGTCCGTGCCGAAGGCACGAACGTGAGCAAGGCAGCCCCAAACGTGGAACGCAGATGCGTCACCAAGGGACCCGGTCCAGAGAAGGGTCGGCGAAACGAGCGGCCGCTGGGAGTACGGCCACAGGTTAATCTGGTGAGCAACGTAACGAACGGCGAACGGCCACAGAAGATGGAGTGCATTGGCATGGATTATGGAGGTACGAGCCACCTCCATGTCCAAACCGATACATCGCTCAGCAACCCCATTCTGCTACGGGGAGTCCGACAGTGTTGACTGGGTGATGCCCTCCGCACAACAGAACTGGCCAAGTTGACCGGAGGCGAACTCGTCGTCGCGGTCGGAGTGGAGACGAAGCACTGGCAGGCTACGCCATGCTCCTCACTCCTCCTCGTTGCCCCCCACTACTCGCACAGCTACGATCCATGGGATAAGGTCGTCAGGCACGTCGGCCTTCCGCTCTAAAGGAAACACCGTGGTGTAGCGCGTGTAGACGTCGACGAGCAAAGTAGCGCTCTCGATGTGGCACAGGGA